CTATGGTATTTAAATTCCAAGTATCCAGGAAGATTAAATGCTTCGATCTGATTGAAAAGGTGTTGATGTGTCTTGAATGTATTGGTTAACGACTCAAGATTGTAGTATTGGTCATTAGCTGGATCATGAGCGATTTGCTCTAAGGTGCGATGCAATGGGTGAGTAGTCCGAGCTTTGATTTTACAAATAAGTTTTTCCATGAGGAATTGCCATCTGGATGCCAGAGGCTGTTCTCCGTTAATATCCAATAGTACATTGGTAGGGGTCGTACACATCATACCGGTAACAGTTCTAAGAGCGGCAAACTGCAGTCTGGAAGTCTTAAGGTAAAGTGCTTCATCTAGAGGGTGAAACACTTGGCAGCCCCAATCAAGCAGGGGTCTGATGAAACCTTTATATATAGTGAGTAGTGTGTTTGGATGGGCTCCCCATTTGATGCCTGAGATAGCTTTAAGAATGTTAATCCTGGGTATGGTCCTGTTTTTAAGTTTGTTAATATGAGCTCTCCATTTTAATTCCGAATCCAGGTAAATCCCCAGAAAACGAGGCAACCAGGAAATTGGAATGTTAGTGTTGTCTAATTTGAGGAAAAAATTGTTATTCCTTAGTAATACACGTAAATTCCTTGGTTTCATAGAAGAGAAAATGGTGTATGCTGATTTATCAGGGGCGATCTTTAGACCAAGACGTCCGAAAAACACCTTAAGACTTTCCACGGCAACGCTAAGTTGACCCTTTATTGAATCCAGGTTATCATCCATGTAATATATGGCAATATCATCCGCGTACATTAATATTTTCAAATGTTCTGGAAGGCAAGTATGAGCCAAGGCTACGTATATATTAAATAGAGTCGGACTAAGAATGGAACCCTGTGGCAATCCTCTGTCGGTTCTTCTGGTCTGAAGAGGGATACCAGCTGCGTATCCTGTAAGGTTTCGGTTGGTGGTGGTTTTCCTAATAAAGCCTATGATCTTTTGAGGAAGGCCAAATTTCTCAAGTAGTATTAATAGGGCTTCTGGTAAAACGTTGTCAAATGCACCGACCAGGTCCAGAAAGACAACCCCAGTGAATTTACGGTGTCTGTTGGCCAAATGGATATCAGTAATGAGAGTAGCCACATTATCCATGCAGGAGAGACCTCTGGGAAAGCCGAATTGATGTTGTGATAGAACCTTGTTGTTTTCAGCCTACCACTCAAGGCGTTTTAAGATTAATTTTTCGAAGATTTTATGTAGATTATTTGCAAGAGATATAGGTCTTAATGCCTTTTTTCCACCAGATTTTGGAATAAAGACCGTGAAGTAGTTGTTCCATTGCGATGGATACGAATCTTTATTAAAAAAACAGTTAAAGATTTTGAGAATCAATTTGTGTAGATTTTCCGGCAATTTCTTGATGTCTTTATTTGATATTAGATCCGGACCCGGAGCTGACTTGGTTTTTAATGAAGAGACAGCAGCGTTGAATTCATATGTAGAAAAGTTTTTTTGCATGAAAGCAGCATTGCAACTGGCTGTAAACGGAAGGTCAGAAAGTACCTTGATATCGTTGGTAGAAAGCGGCGGTACTGGTGTATGGGGTGCCAGTTTGTTAAAGGCAGAATGGAATTCCTCCTCATCAATTACACGTTGACTGAAGTTACCAGATTTTTTATTTGAGAAGGCACGAATATAAGACAAATCCTTGGAATAGGTGTATTGACATCCAGGGACATACAAAATTCTCTGAAGGCAATCCTTATAGAATACATCAAAAAATATCAATTCACATACTTAAAATAATAGAGCTATAATGTTTTTTTTTCTATGTGTGCGTGTACGTGTAAACATTTGTTTAAATAAAAGTCTTTATTGTGCATAATGGAAGAAAATAAAATCATTAGCATGTATGACAAAAAAATTTTTAAAATAAATGTCATTTGAATATTATTAATATATTACTTTAGAATGAAAAAGTAATCTTTAAAATAAATATAAATCTATATAACAAAATTCTTGCGCATTAGCTTTATTTTTAAGGAGTTATAATTGAAATATTAAATAAATTGTTACAATAGAATTAAATATTTTTTAGAAAAAGTTTCCTTTCATAAAATTATGTTTTTATGTGGAACGTATATTAAATAAATTGATAACTTTTTATTGATTGATATACGTATATGTATATGTACATTTATATTGGCACTAATGAGCATGATGCAAAGATCGCAATCACAGCTGAAATTATTACATAAATCTCAAACTAGTAGATCTTATCACAAAGAAATCTATATATAATGTAGATTTCTTATAAATAACTGAAAAAACTGAATATATTTCTTGACGTCTCTTTTCCCTATTATTTGTATATTGAGACGTTTTATTATTATTTTTAGTGATTTATCAAAATCATCAAAATCAC